GAGAGAGAGAGAGAGAGAGAGAGAGAGAGAGAGAGAGAGAGAGAGAGACAGAAAGAGAGAGAGGTGGGATGAGTCATGCTCTGTAGTCCTGGCTGGTGACATCACAGACCCACCTGTCTTAAGATTAAGACACATAGCAACCCCGCCCCCCCCAAAAAAAAAGTCAGGCGATGGTGACCACCACTGCCTGGCCAGTTATTCTCTTTTATTGAGGAAAGGTTTCTTGTTTTGTTTTGTGTGTGTGTATACATGTTTGTGCATGCATACATGCATATTCTTTAGTGCTAAGGATACAGATCAGTGGGAGAACGTGTGTGCAGTGTGTAGAAGCCCTGAGGTTTAATCCTCAACACTGGAAAAAGAAAAAAGGAAAAGAAAGAAATCTGAATAAACATATCCGACAAAGAAAAGCCCTGCACTTGATGTCTTCAGTGCTGAATTCTACCAATAGTTTTCAAACTTAAAAAAAAACAAAAAACAAATGTAAGGGGGTGGGTGGTACTCAGTGGTAGTCTTGCCAAGTATGCATGAGACCCGGGGTTTAATCTCCAACACCACACAAAACAAAATAACCTTAGGCAGGCCATGGTGGCATGTGACTATATTCTCAGTGCTAGGGAAGCAGAGAGAGGTAGGAGGAGGGTCACTGCAAGTCTGAGGCCAGCCTGGGCTACCTAGTGAGTTCTAGGCCAGCCAGGGCTACATAGTAAAACTCTGTCTAAGAAAAGAAAAGAAAAAAGACAACAAAAATCTGTGACATTGAACTTTCTAATTCATTCTGTATGTCCAGCATCACCCTGATAACAAAATAAAGACGACCTTAGGCCAATATCTCCTGTGGCATCGATGCAAGAGTTGTCAAAGATATATTAGCAAGGCAAGTTTAACTACACATATTACAAGGTTTATATTCATGGCCAAGCAGAGTTGACTACTGGAATGCAAGGATATTTCCACATATAGACATCATTCACAGAGGTATTGCATGAAGAAAGAAAACTACATGACTATCCCAACTGACAGAGAAAAGCATTTGACAAAATCCTGCATCTTCTCATCATTAGGACACTAGACAAGCTAGCAAACCACCTCAATTTAAAAGCCAGGGATGAGAACCCACAGGAAACACAACATCTCTGGTGAAAGGCTCGAAAGGTTTTCCTTTAGAATTAAAATAAGACTAGAATTGTTACCCTCACCTCTGCGGCTCAAAATAGTACTGGAAATTCTCGTGAGAGCCATTATGCAAGGAAAAAAAGAAGCAAAAGGCATTCGAATTTTTGACCACTCTGCTCTGACAGAGGACCTGTTTGGTTCCAAGCACCAAGTCGGGCAGCTCATAACTAACTAACTAATGGCCTGTAACTCCAGCTCAGGGGGTCTGATGCCCTCCTCTGGCCTCTAGGGCATTGTGCACATGGTACACAGACTTACATGAAGCAAAACACCCATGCACAATAAATAAAATTTAAACAACAGTTGGGGTTATAGCTCAGTTGCAGAGGGCTTGCTTGATTGAAGGATCTGGGTTCGATTCCTAGAGATGTAAGAACTTCATGTTGATCCTTGGGTTTGTGTTTTCCAAACAAGACACGTAACTTTCTTCTACCGAGGACAAAGGGAAACATTATTCCTCAGCACACTTTTTCATGTCCTTCTTCCTTATATTATCATTTTCAGTTTTTATTTTAAAAATTTTATGGGTTTGGGTGTTTCAGAGAAGGACATGGGTTCCCCATACAGACTGTTGTGGGCTGCCATGAATCAAACCCAGGTACTCTAGAAGAGCAGCCAGTGCTCTTAACCCTTGAGCCATCTCTCTAGCCTTCTAGTGTTGTCTTTTTTTTTTTTAAGATTTATTTATTTATTATGAATACAGTGTTCTGCCTGCATGTATGGCTGCATGCCAGAAGGAGGCACCAGATCTTATTACAGATGGTTGTGAGCCACCATGTGGTTGCTGGGAATTGAACTCAGCACCTCTGGAAGAGTAGACAGTGCTCTTAACCTCTGGGCCATCTCTCCAGCCCCTAGTGTTGTCTTTTAGCTAAGGTTCCCCACCACATGTGTATTCATTCATGTGTGTATCTGTATGTGTATGTGTGAGTGCATGTGCCCATATGTGCACACATAGAAACCTGGGGCATTCTCCACCTTCCTCTTTTTTTTGGCGGGGGGGGGGGGACAGAGTGTGTATTAGTGTGTGTTCTCTAGAGTCACAGAACATATAGAATGTATATATATGGGAATTTACTGGAATGACTTACAGGCTGAGTCCAACAATGACTATCAATCACTGGAAAGTCCAAGAATCCAGCAGTTGCTCAGTCCCCCGAGGCTGGGGGTCTCAGCTGGTCTTCTGTACATGCTGGAGTCCTGAAGTAGCAGGCTCCAGTCAGTGAAGGAACGGATGTGCTGACTAGGCCGGGGCCAGCAGGAGGAGCGGATGGCCCTTCCTTCTTCCGTCATCCTTACGTAGGCTCCCAGCAGAAGGTGTGGCCCAGATCAAAGGTGTGCCTTCTGCCTCATGATCTGGATGAAAAGCCTGTGTCTTCCGGCCTCAAGATCGGGATCACAACTGTACCCTCCATTTCTGGACTGTAGTTCATTGCAGATATAGTCAAGCTGACAACCAAGGCTAGCCATCACAGCGTGTGTCACTGAGTCTAGAGCTCACCCAAGCTCCGATGGGTTACAGGCTGTTTCACTACAGGTCCGCATGTCTGCGCAGCAATCACTACCACTACGCCAGCTTCCCAGCCCCTAGCTAAGTTTTCCAATATGCTTTTTATTTTATTTTATTTTATTATTATTTTTTTAACTTTCTCACTCTTATTTATGACAAATATTCCCCGATCTCTTCTGGTCAAAAGTTCTTTGAGACAATTCCATCAGCCTTAGCCAATTGGAGAATAGAGTCATCTGATTCACCCATGCTATGGCCCCACAGATAGCATAGATTTTTTTTTTAAGATTTATTTATTATGTATACAGCATGTATATCTGCAGGCCAGAAGAGGGCACCAGATCTCATTACAGATGGTTGTGAGCCACCATGTGGTTGCTGGGAATTGAACTCAGGTCCTCTGGAAGAGCAGCCAGTGCTCTTAACCTCTGAGCCATCTCTCCAGCCCAGATAGCATAGATTTTAAACTGGCCATTAAACCACCTGTGACCCGGTCAACCTTGGCCACATTCATCTGGATGGATGTGTGGTCCTTGGCACCAATAATGCGGTTGCTCATGGAGCATTTTCAAGGCACGTACAGGTCACGTCATTCTGCATGTCAAGGCTATGTCTGCTCACTAGGCCAGCGGGAGCGCAGAAAGGATGCTTTTTTTTTTTTAAACCTTTATTATATTACTTGTTTGTTTGGTCTTAAGATAGGGTCTTTAAAAAATTGTATGTCTAGCTGGGCGATGGTGGCGCACGCCTTTAATCCCAGCACTCGGGAGGCAGAGGCAGGTGGACCTCTGTGAGTTCGAGGCCAGCCTGGGCTACCAAGTGAGTTCCAGGAAAGGCACAAAGCTACACAGAGAAACCCTGTTTCGAAAAAACCAAAAAAAAAAAAAAAAAAAAATTGTATGTCTATGGGTGCTTTGTAGTACATACGCCTGATTCTCTGGGACTGGTATTACAGCCAGTTGTGAGCTGCCATGTAGATGCTAGACATTGAACCTGGGTCCTCGAAGAGCAGCCAGTGCTCTTAATCACTGAGCCATCACTCCAGCCTCTCAAAATAGGGTCTTCTGTATCCCAGGCTAGCTTCAAATGTACTATGTAGCCAAAAATGACCTGATCATTCTATCTCTATTTCTCCTTTCAAGTGCTGGGATAACAAGTGTGTGTCACCATACCCAGTTTATTCGATTCTGGGGATCGGATCCAGGGTTTCTGTGAGAGGCACCACTCCACCAACAGAGCTATGCCCCAGCCTCCATCGTGTTACTTTCTCTCTTTTTATGCTCTTAAAAAAGAAAATACATGTGCTGGCTAGTCTTCTGTCAACTTGACACACAAACTAGAGTCATCTGCAAGGAAGGAAACTCAATTGAGGAAATGCCACCATAAGATCCAGCTGTAAGGCATTTTCTTAATTAGTAATCTATGTGGGGGGGGCGTGTAGCTGGAGAGTTTTCTCTCCAGATCCTGCCAAACCCCAGCCATCCACAGCCCACTTACAAAATAAACACACAGACACTTATATTGTTTAAACTGTTTGGCCTAACGGCTCAGCCTTCTTGCTAACTGTTCTTATAGCTTAAATTAATCCATTTCCATAAATCTATACCTTGCCATGTGGCTCGTGGCTTACCGGCATTTTCACATGCTGCTTGTCATGGCGGCGGCTGGCAGTGACTCCCTCCACCTTCCTGTTCTCTCAATTCTCCTCTCTGTTAGTCCCGCCTATACTTCCTGCCTGGCCACTGGCCAATCAGTGTTTTATTTATTGACCAATCAGAGCAAT